CAGGGGGCCCGTCCGGGCCCTGGGCCGGGCTGGACCCGCCCCCCCCGTACTCTGTAGCAGCAGGAGCCATGGGGAAAGCGGATCCCCACAGCAGCCTCCTTCACCATCTCTTAGGCCAGGCCGCACTGGGGCGCTTCGCTTCCCATCGCCGCAGTGAATACCTGCCCCCGATCCCCTGATCATCCCCAAAGCCACATTCCTTGGGGTAGGGAACTTGAGGGAAGGGGTGCAATGGAGGGGAAAGTGCAGAGCAGGAGTGTGTGTGGGGGGTAAGGGTACAAACCCCCTGGGAGGCAGGGCCTCATGTGCCAGCAGCCATGCGTGGGCTGGATTGTGGCACTGCTCAGGGTACAAGTAAACCCTGGGCCATGAGTTTGAGACCCCTGTGCTAGTGCATCAGCAGCCTCCCAGGCATTACAGAAACAGGAGTGTTGCTATGGGGGCTGGCCACCAGCAGGCTACATGTGTCCACACAGCAGCTAGACACCCGTGGCTGGCCTGTGCCCGCTGAGTTGGGCTGGCGGAGGATTCACGGCTGTGCAGATACCGGGGCTTGGGCTGAAGCCCCGGTTCTAGGCTCCTACAAGGTTCCCAGAGCTCAGGCGGCAGCTTAAGCCCCAAAGTCCAACCAGCAATGGAGCAGCCCCACAGCCAAAGCAGCTGGCACTGGCCAGCCACGGCGTTTGCATTGCAGTGTAGACGCAGCCTTAGACCGCACCACTGGTGGCTGCAGGGACACTGGGTTAGCAAAGAGGGGCAAAGCAGAAGCAATAGCACCTTCTCCCTTTTGGGAACAGAGTCCTTCCCCCCTCCAAGCCACCCAAATTGATGGATCAGGCTGCCCATACAATATCAGGGCTTTGCTTCCCCCACGGAGCTCCAAGGGACTGAATTAATCTTTATGGCACAAAGTCTGGCCAAGAGAGACCAGAGCTATTTCTAGGACGTTCCAACATAGCGGTTGGACAGCAGCACGGTGTCAGTCTGAAACAACCACCACCACGTAACACCCCATGAGAGTGTATTTGATGTAAGCAAGAAGCGGAAGGACTTACTTGTACTTATTGAATTCTGCTGCACATTTGACTTTGAATATAACCTGCAAAGGAAGAGAGTTCAGAAAGTTACTCAACAGGTCTCCAGTATTTGTTACATTTCATGTTGAAGCTAAATTTTGGACTGTTGCTCAGCCACAGGGCAAGAGAGGGTGGGGTGGCGAGTGACAATCCAGCTCTCCACGCTCAATACACATTGTAATCTACAACCATTTGCCACACAGCAAGGGGGACCAGCTCTGCTAGCTGGATCTAATGCGTCTGAGGCGGTCTTTACGACAAGTTCTTCTGGCAGAAAATACGCTAGAAGACCTCATTAGCATAAGTTGCAACATCATTAGCATATTTTCTGCCTTTCTTGCACCAGGGGTTTGTTTTTTTTTGTTTTTTTTTGGCACAAAAAGAAGCAGAGAGGACTTGTGCTTTAAAAAAAAAAAAATCCACACTGCTTTTTGTGCAAAAACCCCTTGTTCAAAAAGAAATGGCAGAAAATATGCTAATGATGTTGTGAATTATGCTGAGTCCCTCACTAGCATATTTTCTGCCAGAAGAGCTTGCAGTGAAGACATAGCCCGAGTGTTTAATCCACGTACAGCCCTCTTCGTTGTCAAGTAATTTATTAAGCCAATTCTTCTTTGGGCAACAACTGCAAGTCCCATTTTACCAAACGGGGCGTTCAAAACACTTTGTGAGCTCCTTGGGAGCAGAGGAGGGTGTTACTCGGTAGTTGGATACGAACTACATTGTTCAGCAGAATACAAAATGTCAAACTTTATTAATATTTTAGGACCTCAGTCATGTTTCACTTCCTTAAAGGAAAAGCTTTAGCTGCTATTCTTAGAATTAGACATATGAGAGGGCTATTTTGGGTTAGCCTTTTATATTTGATTACTGCAGTGTAGTTCCCCACACGGTCTAACTTAGAGTACATGCACATTGCTTCACCCTGGAAGCACCCCCCCCCCCCTTTAACAATGATTCACCAGATATTTGAAGAAATTCTTATAAGGGCTGAAGTCCCGGACAGGCTAAATTCTGCAGATTTACAATTCCAGAGGACTGGAAAGGTGATAGATGTCAGCAATTCAAGCGAGGTTCTGCTCTCGAGTGAGGAAGGGTATGTCTACATTTGCACCCTCTTTCAAGAGAGGGATGCAAGAGACATTCAAAATTGCAAATGAAGCTGGGATTTAGATAGCCTGGGCTTCATTTGCATATTTACATTATGGCGCTATTTTGAAGTAGCGCTATTTCAAAATAAGACGCTGTTAAGACATGGTTATTTCGAAAGAAAACCCTTCTCTCAAAATAACTGGTAAACCTCATTGTATTTCAAGAGAAGGGTTCTCTCGAAATAAGTGTGTTATTTCGAAATAGCGCCATAATGCAAATGAAGCCCGGGATATTTAAATCCCAGCTTCATTTGCAGTTTCAAATGTCTTCATTTGCATCCCTCTCTCGAAAGAGGGTGCAAGCATAGACATACCCGAAGAGAGTAATCGAGGCAAGGTGAGGGTAAAAAGCCCTGCTCTCAAAGAGGGGAGTTGTCTGGGTTGTACACAGGTGTAAGTTGAAGTAGAGGCATTGCAAACCACACTGAGGGCACGTCTCTGCTACAGCGTTAATTCAAAACAACAAGGCGAGTGTCCACACAGCAAGCCCATTATTTCAAAATAAGCATCGCTCCTTGTGAAATGAGAGCCTATTTTGAAATAGCAGCTGTGCAGCATCCACACTACTGCTCTTTTGAAATAGCTCCTCCCTAGGGCCCAAGTAATTACTCCCCAGTGCTTTCTGGGGCCCTAAATGGAGGCAGCAGGACCACATTAGGGGAGCCTGCCTTGGACTAATTTTGAGGCTTCCCTGTAGTATGGGCATGCTATTGTCAAAGTAACTTCTGGAGTTATTCTTCCAAAATAACATTTCAAAATAGCCTTGGGTTATGGCTACACCGGCAGCTTCTTGTGCAAGAACTCCCCTTGTGCAAAAAACTCTTCCACACGAGAGCATCTACACTGCCATGTGCTTTTGTGCAAGAGCATCCACGGCAGCGTAGATGCTCTTTTCCGCAAGAAAACTGATGGCCATTTGAACCGTAGGGGCTTCTTGTGCAAGAAATTAGTGTTGTGTGTCTACACTGGCCTCTTCTGGAAGAGCTCTTGCACAAGAGGGCTTCTTCCTGAGAGGGAGGGTCAGTTCTCGTGCAAGAAGCCATGATTTTCTACAGTACAACGTCAGTTTCCTTGTGCAAGAACGCGTGGCCAGTGTAGACAGGCAGCATGTTTTTGCATAAGAACGCGCCAGTGTAGACACAGCCTTGTAGCGGAGATATACCCTGAGCACCTGCATCGTTACAGCCTGCCAGCCATGCACGGACTAATGACTAGTGAGACTGGAGCACGTTACCCTGAAGGGTGACCCTAGCATCCCTTGGGGCCATGTACATTCTGTAGAAGCCATTTTCGTATTTAGCTAGAAGCCATTCTGTATAACAAAAGCCATTTCAGTTTGTGTCTGCACTTATACTAAAAGGGAATGAACTGGCCTTCACCGAGGTGGGGAGAGGCCAGAAGGATGCGCTGTTGGAATGTGTCAATGAACTATTTTGAGCTGAAGCTCAAACTCCCTTCTAAACCTGTTTCTTTCTCTGCTGATAATAATTCCTCTTTGAAGTTCTTTGATTTCTTGCCCTGACGTCAGACTTGTTTGGTTAAGGGTATAAAATACTAGGATTGGTTGTATTAGCCAGCCTTACTGGGCCCGGCTCTGCTGAGACCACGTTTGGCTCACTTTGCTTTTATTGGCCAATAAAACTGTCTGTTTAGCTGCGTAAACTGAGTGAGGCTTTTGCTTCGACAATTCTGTACCATCCAGCCCTCTTAGGTGGCCAAAAAAAAAGTGTTAAGTTCATTATTCCTTTGAGCATATGCGATGGGCAGGTAGAGGGATGAGAGTGTCTTGGTATCTGTTCCTCCTTTCTAGTTTCAGTCCTTGTCTAGAAAGATTTCCAGTGAGGAACGAGGAGAGAGTCTATGTGGAAGATGTTCCCTGCTGCCTGTGTCTTGTTTGACCTTTGTTCCCTCTTATTCCCCTGCAGTGAGGGCAGGGGTCTGGACTCAACCTCTCGAGGTCCCTTTCAGGAATAGGATTATTACCCTGTAACGCCAGTAATGCAGAGTACACGTTGCTCTGGTTACAGCAGACCCACTTCCAAGCCCCTCAGCCCTGCCCAGAGGCTGGCCACGTGTTATCATACAGGTACAACATCTTATAACGTCACAGGTAACGTGGCCACATTTTATTGGAAAGACACCAACCGGCAAACTTGGAGATTTCGAGTGACCCCTTACCAGGCACGCCTTATACAAGAGGCTACTATCGTAGTGTGCAGCGTGGGAACCCAAGGAGGAGGATCACCTGTCCCAGGTTAGGCAGGACACTTCTGAAATGCAGAGTCAAAGTTCTGGCCTGAAGGACTCTGGGACAGCATTGGTCCTGGATTCCCCACAGCGGTGGCCCATGCAGGGTAGGCCCACTGCTCAGTGAGGAGGGAGAAACAGGAACAGGGAGCTCGGAAATGGCAGAGATGCTCAATGACTTGTTTTGATCTTCACCGAGAAGTCTGAAGGAATGCCTAACAGTGAATGCTAGCGGGAAGGGGGTAGGTTTAGAGGATAAAGTAATAAAAACACCCGAACAAGTTAAAAAAAAAAATCACTTAAAAAGTTAGATGTCTGCAAGTCACCAGGGCCTGATGAAATGCATCCTAGAATATGCAAGGAGCGGATACAAGAGGTATCTGAGCCTTTAGCTATCATCTTCGGAAAATCATTGAAGACAGAAAGATTCCAGAAGACTGGAAAAGGGCAAATCTAGTGTCCATCTATAACAGCGTTTCCCAACCAGGGTTCCGCATCCCATCATCAGAGGTTCCACAAGAAGTCATGGACTAAAATGTTTTTTCTTAAAATGTAAGCTGACATAGCTCTTTACAAATACATTTTCTTGACAATAATGTAGCAGTAATTGAACTGCGCTTCCTGCTGTCAACTTTTTCTGGCCAAGCAAATATTTTCATAGGTAGGGGTTCCTCGGGCTATGAAAAGTTTTTAGGGGTTCCTCCATGGGGAAAATGGTTGGGAATCACTGATCTATAAAAAGGGAAATAAGAACAACCCAGGAAACTACAGACCAGGCAGTTTAACTTCTGTGCCAGGAAAGATAATGGAGTAAGTAATTAAGGAATTAATCTGCAAACACCTGGAAGATAAGGTGAGAGGGAACAGACAGTATGGATTTGTAAAGAAGAAATCGTGTCAAACCAATCTGATAGCTTTCTTTGATAGGACAATGAGTCTTGTGGCTAAGGGAGAAGTGGTGGATATGGTATATCTAGATTTTAGTAAGGCATTTAATACAGTCTTGTATGACCTTATCAATAAACAAGATAAATACAACTTAGATGGGGCTACTATAAGGTGGGTGCATAACTAGCTGGATAACTGTTCTCAGAGTAGTTATTAACAGTTCACAATTCTGCTGGAAAAGTATAAGTGGGCCTCCACAGGGGTCTGTTTTGGGACTGGTTCCATTCAATATTTTCGTCAACAATTTAGATATTGGCATAGAGAGTATGCTTTAAAGTTTGCAGATGGCACCAAGCTGGGAGGGGTTGCATCTGCTTTGGAGGATAGGGTCATAATTCAAAATGATCTGGACAAATTGGAGAAGTGGTCTGAGGTGAACAGGATGAAGTTTAATAAGGACAAATGCACAGTGCTCCACTTAGGAAGGCACAATCAGTTTCACATACAGAATGGGAAGCGACCGTCTAGGAAGGGGTACTGCAAAAAGGGATCTAGGGGTTATAGTGGACCACAAGCTAAATATGAGTCAGTGTAACACTATTGCTAGGGGAAAAAAAGATTCTGGGATGCATTAACAGGTGTGTTGTGAGCAAGACACGAGAAGTCATTCTGCTCTACTCTGCGCTGATTAGGCCTCAGTTGGAGTATTGTGTCCATTTCTGTGCATCACATTTCAAGAAAGAATGTGGAGAAATTGGAGAAGGTCCAGAGAAGA